GTGTGTGTGTGTGTGTGTGTGTGTGTGTGTGTGTGTGTGTGTGTGTGTTTGACATGAGTTTGAAGCCAGCCTGGGATATAGCCAGGAAAACAGATACTCGAGATTCCCAAGTGAGTCACAGGGAGTCCGGTGCCAGCCTTACTTACAGACATCAGTAAATCAGCTGGAGAGGTGCAGCTCTAAGAGCACATACCATGCTGACAGGGGACCCACACAGGTGGCTCACTACCTTTCATAACTCCAGCTCCAGGGGACAATGAAAACCTGCCCACCCCAACGCACATAACTATACATTAAAAAATACAAAGCAGCCAAATATTAAAAACACAGGATTAAAGAGAATTCACCACCATTCCAGTGAACAGACACACAGGAAAGACATTACAGAAATATCATGAAATAACTTCCATTCTAAACTATTAACAAATCAATATGTGATACATCAGAACCAAATTGGGCTTATCCAAGGAGTGAAAAACCAATTTAACATCTGGAAGTAAATTAACATAATTCATTAAAGAGTAAATGGAGAGGGGAAAGTAACAGGATTGTAAGAAAATGTGGGGAAAAACCTGATACAATTCAACAGTCATGATTAAAAGCTCTTAGCAAAGCAAAAAGCTGTAACCTAAAACACATACAAGCTGGGACAGGATGGGACCCTTCAGATGGCTTCTCAATAAGCCACTGATGTGTAAAACAGCCATGAAGTCTGGTCCTTGCTCTCATCCTAAAGACAAAGCCCAGTTCAAGGTGAATTAAAAACCTAATGTAGAAGACAAAATTGCTAGGCTGCAGAAGGATGGTGAGGTGGCTGATGTTACAGATCAGCTTGATGGGACGTGGATAAATAGAGAAAGACCATTTCTGGGTGTGGATGAGAGGGTGTTTCTCCGAGAGATGAGCTCAGAAGATTGAGGTGAGCAGGGTCTATCCAATTGTCTGGCACCTGGACAGATGGTAAAGGACCTCTCTCCCAAAGCCCAGGCATCCTCCTGCCAGAACTCTTGCCACAGGGGCCCAAGGGCTCTGAAGCCTTCTGCCTCTCACAGCCATGCACTACCACTGGCTTTCCTGGTTCCAAGGCTGACAATGAGGTTCACTGTAAGTGGCCTCTTGACAGGCCTTTCAGCCTCCATATTGCATGGGCCAATTTCTCCAGTGAATCAATTAACCTCTCTCTTTCTCTCTTGCCTCCCCTTCTTTCTTCCTCTCCTCTCCTTCTCTCCCTCTCTCTACCCCACACTTTCATTCTCTGGACAATCCTAATACATGTGGAAAGAATTTGCTTAACAAAACTATACAACATAAAGGGAATGTTTATAAAATGTAAAACTTTGGCTCACCAGAAAACACTTTAGGCAAAGAGGGAAAACAAGCCAGAGTGGAGAAAGTCTGCAAAGACATATCAACAGAAAAAAGGACAAGGGATTTAGCAGATAGCTCACTGAGGAAGTTAATCAAGGGGCTGGAGAGAGGGCTCACTGGGTAAGAGAACTTGCCACACAAACCTGAGGACCTGAGTTCTTAACTCAGCATCCAGTAAAGGCTGGGCATATGCCTACAACACAAGTTCTGTGGAAACTTGGCGGCAGGAAGTGCCCTGGGGCCTGCTGGCCCCGCACAGCTCCACATTCAGTGAGGGCCCTCATCTCAAGGGGAAAGGTGGACAGTGGTAGAGCGGGTGACTGCCATCCTCCGTGGTCTCTGCACACACGTGTGGGCCCGCCACATGCACACAGACACACTCCTTCACACACAGAAGTTAACCAAAACCAACAGTGAACAGGAGAGACCCAATCCCACTGTGCACTGAAGAAATATAAACAGAAGCAAAGGAAGTAGTTCACACTGGCCAGGACAAGCAGAAAAACACTATGGGCACATAAACTGTTGCTAACTGGAGCTCAACATCCTGACACAAAGCTTTCAAAGCTGTGAATTGGGGCTGGAGGTGTAGCCTGGTGGGAGAGTACTTGCTTAGTAAGAGCAGAGGGCCACAGACCCCCGACACTGAAAACTAATCCGAGCTTGTTAGAATCCCTGTGGAAAGCTCTTGGGACTATGTAATAAAAGTGACGTGCGTGCCCTACAGCCTAGCAATTTAGCCATTTCACTCTTCCACACTTAGCAAAAGGGGAGGGGCGGCTTATGTGCGCCAGTTGGAAAAAATGAGCTCGGAAAGAGATATGGAATAAAAAGAACTGGAGAGCTTTTCCTTTTAAAAGCTTTCTTTTAGATTTTTTAAAGATTTATTTATTATTTTATGCAGATGTGTGCATAAACCTGAGTGTGCACGTGCATGCAAATGTCCATGAGGTTAAGAGAGCACCATCAGAATTCCTGCAGCTGGAGTTAGACAGTTGTGGGTCCTCTGGAAGAGCAGCAAGTGCTCCTAACAGCTGAGTCATCTCTCTAGGCCTGGAAACCTTTTTTAACGCAAAAGAAGGCTTTTTACTTTAACCAGAGCTGAGGGTGCTGGTGCAGTCTGGAGAGTGGGAGCGTTACCAGAACCCGAAACCAACTGGAGCAGCATGGGCATTTTAAGCAGCAAATGAGACCATGAAGGTTGTTCCCACTAGTGGATTGCCAGGGGCTGCTGTGTTACATGCTGTGATGTTAGTTAAATGTAATTTTCCTTCTTAAATACTTACCGTCTCAACATCAGATACTGAAATCATAAACATTGAAAATGCGTTACCTAGTTCTGAACGGCAATGCGCGTGCTATTTGCCTCCATCTGTCTTTACAGCATGGCGGGCTTCCCACTCTGGCTGGACTCAGTCAGTGCCTGGCCTCCCCCAGTGCCACTCTCCCTGGCCTCTGAGAGGCGAGGAAGTTACCTTTTCAGAGTCTT